TATACATTATATTATTATACTTTTTTTGTAAAAATCTTGTTACTTGTTATCTACACTTACAAATTTTTCATTTCTCTCTAACACAGTACAACAATCATACATACTACTATCAATCAAATGTTACTTTATGACAAACACAGTGTTAATTAATTTTAGCTAATATATGTCAAAGCATGTATATATACAGAGTTCCCGTACAAGAATATTATTCGATAATAATATTCTATCTCTAATTTATCCTTAGTAACATTCTCAAGCATGATTTTTCTAAATAAATTATGTTTTCTTTCAGCTCATTTCTGATTCAAGATTTGCCAACAAATTTAACGATTTCCTATTACATATGATACGTGTATATATTAAATTACATGAACACAGAAAATGTTGAATGAACGCGCGCGCGATTTATGTTCCAAATATATTTTTCCTCATGCATTACTATGTTAATCAATAATTTTTGATGATATGAAAATGTTATAAATGTATCATTATCGCATATGTACATATATATGTGTGTGTGTGTGTGTGTGTGTGTGTGTATGTGTATTAATGCATATATGCCCACACGCGTATATGTACATGTAACATGTAACACACTACATACATACGCGCTATATGTATTTTTTCTCAAAGAAAATTAATTATAATTTATCACGTCAACTTATGTTTAATAACACTTACATAATATTATTTTGATGATAAAAGTATAAAATTTGCATTTACATTTTTTTATATCAAATCTATGCACATGCACAGATCCCATCAAACGTTTATGTGAGAACCATTGTTGTTCTTATCTATTAAGTAACTACATAACATTTCTATCACTGTTTTTATCTATATTCCTCCTACTTCTTTATTTTTCCATCCGTATTAAATTTCTACATTCAATATTTTATCACATTTTAATTACATTATTTATTAACAGAAACCGAACATTATACTATCGATGCTACCTATTCAAATAAGATTAATGTTTTTAACAGAGCGACATTGCACAACACANTTAAGTATAACGAAAAAGACCACTGTTCCTATATATATATATATATATATATATATATATAAAGAAAAATGTTTGACATTAATTATACATATTAATCACACAGCCGATTTTCAATATTTGGCCATTGTAATTAGGAAAATTTCTTTTAACAATAAAATATAACACAATATTAATGTTTTCATTACCTTAGTATCTGGCATCTTAGAAATACTGATATTATATAGAGTCATCTACATTTGTAACCAATTTTTATTTTCTCTGCATATAACGATAATATGCGAAGTAAAGGGAAAAAGTTGTGACAACGTAATTTATAAAGATTTGCAGCACATGGAAAATGACA